TACGGAGATAAATAATTTTTAAAAATTCACTAAGAGTTGAAATTGACTCCTCTAAAGAAGAGAAAATGGAGTTAGGTAGCAGAAATTTTTGGCTTTGTAAAATATGTATATGTCTGACAAAAATAAAATTCTTTAAAATAAAGCATGAAAGATGAGAACAGAGAGACAGCAAGAATATATAAAGCTTCAGTAGTTTTCCTACTAAAACAAAGTAATGGGGCAGTAGTTGGAATGGAATGGAGGTCTCTGGACATACAGGCAACATGACTTCCTATCTGATATATCTGCATTATATGGAGCAAGTAGTTTTTAGTTTGATATCTTGCTCACATTGTAATGTATTTTACCAGGTTAGCAACTCATCCAAAATAACATTTAGAAGTGCACAATAGTCCACTTTATGGCAAGATCATAATAAATTATGATAAATTGTTCGACTTGTGGATTTCCTATTAGCCTATTTGTAGCAAAAACTACCAGATAGTGCATTTCTTTAATTTTTAGTAGTAATTCAATTTACACACACACACACACACACACATCTAAAAAGCAATTAAATAGCAACATTATTCATAATAGTATCAAAATGAAAGTCCCAATGTCCATCATCTGTGCGTGGATAAACAAAATGCAACATATCCATACACTGGACTGGTACTTGGCAATAAGAAGGTATTACTGATACATCCAACAAAATGGAGAGACTCACAACAACATGCTAACCAAATGAAGCCACATACCAAAGACTACAGACTGTGAATTTCTAGGAAAGGCAAAACCACAGTGACACAAAGTAGATCAGTAAGTGCCTGGGTATGGTGCTGCAAAGGTACACGAAGAATTTTTGGGGTGAGGGAACTGTGAGAGTGAGATGGGATTACAGGACTAGTACCTCTGCCCAAACTCACTGAACTGTATACTTAAAACAGATGAATGTTATTGTACGTAAATCATACCACAATAAAGCTGTTAACATTATTTAAAGGAATACATTTTTAAGTTAACAATTATACTTATAAATACAAGATGATTAGCAAACCAGTTCAATTTTAGATTTCTAAATTAACAACATTTTAGGGCTGTATTTAAATATATGGTATATACTTCACAATTTTTGAAATTTCTAGTTCAAAAAATCTTTTCCCGTAGCTCCCTACTCCCAATTCTAGACTCAATTCATAAAAGATCAAAATTATAATACACCTGTCCTTAGGTAAAGAGGGCCACCAATGTATTACTATAGTTATTCTTTAAGTGCAGAAATAGTTGAGCCACTCAATTTAGAGCAAAGATGAAACGATTTCAAATAAAATTACTTTTGGATTCAGTAGCAGGCAACTGCTTCCTTCGTCTCCCAACTTTGTGCATTATATAATCTCTGAGCCATCTGCTAATAATCCCAACCTGGCAACAGAGCACCTTCAACCTCACGGAGGGGTAATCCCAGCCTGACTTCCTGCACCCTTACGTTAAGCCGGTCTCATCTTATTAATGTTCCCTTATTACCATTCTCTTGTTTCTGTCCAATGTGCACTACTCATCTTCCTTTTAGGAAAGGCCTTTATATACATATTTTAAAGGAAAATCTCACAATAGCATTTAAAACATCCACTCTCCCCTACTGACTTAATATTCCCCTAAGAAACTATTTACTTTTTCACCTGTCCTGTAATTCTTTTTAAGGTTCCAAACATTACCTTCATGCTAATTGAGAAAAAAATGCTATAAATTTCTAAGATTTTTCCTAACTTAATCTGCTTTCAAAGTAGGTAACTATTCATCCAGAACCATATGCTGACAAAGATTTAGTGGCAACCCTGTGCAAAAAATACAACTTTTATGACCTCTGAGAGGTCATTTTATCTTTATGACAAAGCAAAAGATCAAATGTAAATTACAACAATTTTCTCAAGATCACATACTTACACATCAGCTAGAACTATCCGAGTCCGTGTCACATTCTCTATGGTGAATTTGGTTTTTCCTCCTTTGCCAGCGATTCTTCCTATTGCCCTGGACAGGTGGTCTCCCTTTAGAGGTTTCACTAAATGAGAAAATCAAGACTTTAAGAGGCAAGCCATTCCAGTACAGCACCCTCTTCTACATAACGGGTAATCTTTAATGCAATTTCCCTCCTAACAGACACAAAATATGCATTTTTTTAAAAAGCTGCTAATAATCAACGGATGCTTTAGGAAAGGTGAGAAACACAATATACAAAAGGACAGCATTTCATTATAAAAGACTCACCATCTGTAATTTCAAAAGACTCTAAGAAGAGGTCATCCAACCTAATGAGAGCAAGTGCATCCTACAATGTAAAAAGGAATACTGTGAAGCCCTTCCATGTAAATCTCTGAGAATGAGTGTTAAGCTAAAATTCACAAATTGTGGAACTAGAAAATTCATATTTAAAAAAAAGCCCCAATTCATTGAAACATTCATTTTGAATATTTTTCAAGCCCCTATTTCAGATGTCATGAAATCACTCACCTCTACCTGAAATCCGAGAATAAAGGCTTTCACAAAATCGGCGGCTTTTGTCAGAGCGCTAACATCCTTGGTTTCTTTACAAGTCTGTGTTAAAAGAGGCACACATTACAGGTGGTGATGAAAAAGATAATATCTAACAGAATATCAGGAATGACCTTTCCCTTTATTGTCATTTCCTTTACCACCACCCTTCCCCCAGTGTATTCTCCATGACCCAGTTTTTTGCTGAGGTAAGTACTGTTTAACTTGCAAAATAAAACTTTCCCAACTCCAGGGGTAGACAGTTCCACCAAAATGCTGTCAAATGACTGTACTCCATCCAAATCTGACTTGGGTTTAACAGCAAGATCCCTCTGGCACAGCCGGAATACACACACTGAAGCATCCTCACACCAGCCCCTCCATGTGTCAAGGCCCAAGCCAATTGTCTTATCTTTCAATACAGTCTTCCCTGCAAGCTGTGATATAATCTCCCAACTTCAATCATGTATATACTAATGTTTCCCACAGCAACAACTCCAGTATGAACTACGGAGAGTGGTTTAAGCAGGGATCCCGAGCTCAAAGAGTTCATTCCATAATCACAGAAACAGGTATTCATAAAATGCCTACCACTGCAAATGACAAGCATTATAAAGGTGCTTTCTGTACTATAGCTCTAAGCTTCATGACAACCCTAAATATTAAGTGATATAAAGACTTATGCTCCAGGCAACTAAAGTACTAAAAGGTGAAACAGGTAAGGTTTGGACATAGGTCTGATTCCAAAACTGTTACTTCCGCTCTCCGACATAAGCTCACAATCTAACTGAGACCACATACTTGACAAACTTGAAACCATACAGGGTTGTATAAAACTAGACCCTGTATGTGTCCAGTTTTAAAACTGGATCCTATCCCAATCCTATACATGACCTTGAACAAGCCCAATATATATTCTAAAAGGGGGTCAGGGTAAAAGATGCCAAGAGGTCCCTACTAGTATTAAAATTCACATATCAGCTTGATGACTTTGGCCAAGATACTCCTTTGACCCTGTTTCCCCACACCCTTAAGACAGATTATAATTAACTTTGGTCTTTGATTCTGATACAAAGTTGACACTCAGAAAAAGAAGCTCAAAGTCAATTAATTTTGATTGTTGAACCAGGGGGCTGGCACCATAGGAAAAAAAAGTATATACACGTGTGTAAGTACCATATATATATATATATATATATATATATATATATACACACACACACACACACACACACACACGTATATATAATTTATACTTATTCCTAAAATGCATTTTCCCCAAACACCAATAAAATATATAGTGCAGCAAGTACTTCCAACTCATTATTTACAAACTTCTGTTTATGACAACCTCTTTAATTGGCCTTTTCTCAGTCCAACACAGAACATTATTAAAAATATGCACAGCAGCCCTGACCAGTTTGGCTCAGTGGACAGAGGGGCAGCTTGTGGACTAAAAGGTCCCAGGTTCGATTCAGGTGAAGGGCATGGTTGCATGCACAACCACGGTAGGAGGTGTGCAGGAAGCAGCTGATAGATGTTTCTCTCTTTCCCTCTCCCTTCCTCTCTGTAAAAAATCAATATATTTTTTAAAAATATGCACAGCATAACCACTATTTTGGTATGATCTCAGGCTCAATTTATGAACTCAACTAATATATGTGTTAAATGCAAACTCACTAAATTAGAAAACAGAGGAAATCATTTAACAAAATGACTCTCACTGAGGAAAGTCTATTCACCCATGTTCATCCCTGTATATTTGGAAATGACTGGCATTCTCCATACCCTGATTTCTACATTCCTCGATTTCAAGTTAAAGCGTATCTGAAGTCCCAAATGTTCTACAATAGGAGTAAATATCTTCATCCAGTTCTCTTTTAATGGTGTGTATCTGTTAGCCGGGACTGGAATTTTCCTTGTTTCTTCTTTCCCATCCTGCAATAAAAGAACACACAATTCAGATGTCTGAAGTAAAGGGGGTGGAGCTGTAACAATGACAACTGATCCACACCAAAAAAAAGCTTCCTTAACAAATTAAACGTCAGCGGAGTCACTTCAGCCTCAGAAGAGCCCATGCAGCTTCACCATCACCACGGACTTGGCCTCCCCCTGGTCCCTAACCCAACTCCAGTCCCGGGTCCCGCCAGTACCAGGAACCCGTCCCCGGACAGGGGCGGGAACACCGGCCTCTTCGCCGCCGGCCGGGCCTCCTCGGTGTCCATGCGGCTCGCGTCCCCGCCCTCCCCGGCCGCGGACAGCTCCTCCGCCTGCCTTTTCTTCGCTCTCCGGCCACCCTTGCGGGTGACCTGGGTGAAACCGTCCTCGGCCCCAGCGCTCTGTGCCTCCATTTCGGCGGCCATCCTCAGGAATCTCCAGCCCCCGCGGGCGCTTCCGGATGGAACACGTGCGCCGCTGCACTGCGCAGGCGCACCACGTGCTGGCCAACCAGCCGCAGGGCTCCGCCCCCTTTTCTGAGAGGGCCCCACGCCGGGGACCTGAGGCAGGATTTTTGTGTGGGTTTGCTGGGAAGGGGAGGGGGCTGTCCTAAAATATGCCGTATGCTTATGATCTCCCTCTGGCCCCGACACTCAAAGCCAAAGCATCTTATGACCTGGAATCTGTGTATGTGCTAAAGGAAGTAGGTAAAGGCGATGCCTAAGTTGGTGCCACCGGTGAAGAAAAAGCCCGTGGGATTTCTGTAATGCATCTGGCATTATCTGAGACAGCTACGTCCAACTGGCTAGGGTGTCGGGGGGACGTGTACGGCGAGCGGAAGAGACCAACTGTCCTGTTTGGGGTCTGGTTTCCAGGTGAGGGGTTTGGCAAGGGGCTGAACGTACCCGTTGGTGGAGGAGAAGTTGGCTGGACCATGTCGGCCTTCGAGAAGCCTCAGATCATTGCCCACATCCAGAAGGGCCTCAACTACACTGTGTTCGACTGTAAGTGGATGCCCTGCAGCGCCAAGTTTGTGACCATGGGCAACTTCGCCCGGGGCACCGGCGTCATTCAGCTGTACGAGATCCAGCACGGGGACCTCAAGCTGCTCCGGGAGGTGGGTGCCGGCCGAGACTTGCCCTCGTGCAGGATCCGGGGGGGAATACCGAATTAAGTGTTAAGCTAATTCGTTGGGGGGCGAGTGCGGATTCGGAGTGTGGGGTCTGCATTACGCCACCGCCTCCGTCCAGGGTCCCGCAAAAGCACCGCTCGGAGCCTCGTGGGCGGAGTGGAGTTGATCGCAGATGGCGCACATACGGTACTTCCGATGTGAGTGCTTTTGCCGGAGCTCAGAGTTCTCCTGGGCGGGCGAGTCCATCCGCGCCCTCCGGCCCCTCCTCCAGCGGCCCCTGTGGTCCAGCGCGAGGTCTCGGGACGAATCCGGGTCTGAAAGCGAGTCCCTTCGGGGCGGGGCGCAGTTCGTGGCGAGTCTGGGAATAGAGGGTCTTGTTAGTAAAATGCTTTTAAATGCAAACAGAGCCAAAGCTGGCGCCGGTTTGCCGGCCTTGTGATTGCAGGAGATCCCCTAACTTAACATTTATTCTTCCCACAAGTATCGGTTGATTGCCTGGTGGTATTCCCAGGCTTGTGAATGACAGTGTCTCCAATCTCAGGGAGTTTTCCTGTGGGAGAAAGAATCGGTTAAAAATAATCAAACCAACAGTGCATAAGTACAACCAAGATGAATTCGCAAACATGAAAGAACACGGTTCTACGAAAGTAAAAACAACCGCCTTTCTTCCTCGCTGAAATCAATAGTAGAAGCTAACGAGGCCAAACTAAAAGGAAAGGACGAGGTTTCCATAGGACACGGCCTGTGCGGAACCTCTGCGATGAGAGAAAGTCTCTTCTTAAGAAACAGGAGTGGTAAGCAGGGACCAAACGTTGCCTTTCTGCCCCTAAGAATAAGGACATCAGTGAAGGGCTTTAAGCAGTGTGTGGCATGATCACGTTGGCAAGTTTTGAAAAAGTTTTGAAAAAGCTCAACAGTGAAAGAAGTTAAGAATCACGTTAACTGACATTTTTCATACCTGTTTACAGTTTAAAAAGTGCCTTGATTTGTGTTACCTGGAAAAAAATGATCGTGCTCAGGTGTTTAGGGTTGTAATAGACCACAGGGAAGGTTGACAACTCTGGAGATCAAAAGCTGTAGAGAGAATCTGCTTGGAGGAGTCGGAGGTTAAACTGGTGCTAAGTAAAGGAAGAATATAGTTTCGATAGATAGCCTAGATTAGAAGGTAGTAGGCTGGGCCCCCTCCCACTTTAAATTTCTATGAGTGTCAGTTTTCTTGTTCAGTTTGCCTTCTCTAGTCAGGGATCAGTACATGTGGCTTGTGCTTTTCTCCATTTCCTTAGGTTGTTCACCACTTGCCCCCAGTCACTTGTTGCTGTTCTGAGGTCCAGTTTCAGATTATTTGATTTCTGAAGTCCCTTCCTGATCCCCACACAAAGTAACCTTTCATACATTGCATTCCTGTGGTATTTACTATCTGTGCCTGCAATATGTCATTCTGTTCCATTTATCTCTAGATTGTAAGCTCCTGGAGAGTAAGGATGGTGTCTTTTAAAAAAAAATTATTTTTTTAATTGACGTTTTAGAGAGAGGGAGAGGGTCAGAGGGTAGACTGAGAGAAACTTCATTTTGAGAGCTGAACATCACTGGGTTGCCTCCTGCACGCCCCCTACTGGGGATTGAGCCCCGGAAACCCTGGTGTATGCCCTGATCTGGAATCAAAACCAGTGCAAGCGAGGACACCCAGCCTACTGAGCCACGCTGGCCAGGGCAGTGTCTTTCTTTCATATAGTACGTAAGGAGCAGTAACTCAATAAATTACTTGTTAAAAGAATGAGTAAATGTATGTCTGTACAGGATATAACGGGTAATTTATTTTTTCCCTTTAAATTTTATTTTGTATTGGTTTCAGGTGTACAGCTTAGTGGTTAGATAATTATATACTTTAGTTAGTGTAACTTGGGTAATTTAAATATTGGTTTATTGATTATACTATTGGGGTCAAGAGTTTAAACAAACGAGAAACAGCAGAAAGAATTTAAAGGTGAAGTATTAGGAACAAATACCAATCAAAGTTCAACCAGAGAGCATCTCCAGACTTATGACTTTTTTTTTTTATAAGACTATGATTTGTATAATTTGCAGGAATACACTTGTTCCAAAAGTGAAATAGTGCTCTTTGGTCTTTTCTAGAGTTTCTATAGGATTCTAACGAGTTTTTCAAATAAATTTGCTTTTTAGCAAAAGTAATGTGTTAATGATAGAACATTTTAGAAATATACAGGGTGACCTCAAAAATGCATACATATTGTACTTTGAATAAATAAAGGCATTATTTATTAAAATACATTTCATTTTCAAAGTGTAATAGAATCGGTTGTTAAAGTGTCTATACATTTGCGGGAGGGGGGAATACTCTGTAGATCGGAGAAGAGGAAAATTAATATCACCCATGATCTCAACCCTAGGAGTTTACTTTTTCTATTTCACCTGTATCTAAGGACTATTCTGAAGAAGGACCAGAACTATTTGATTGATGAGTTCTTTCTCTTAAAGAGCCTGCTGTCTAAAGAGGATAAAACAAATGGGAAAACATTTAAGAATTTACCTTGTATTTGGCTGTGATGATGCAATGTGAAAGAATATAGGTTAAGTACAAGTTCAGTGATTCTCAATTCTTAGCGTGTATTGTTGCTGTTTGTGTGCGTGTTTTAAGGAATTCCTGCCTTGGTCCCACCCTTAGAAGTTCTGATGCACTGGGACCCTTGCTTTTAGACTGGGGCAAGGGCTGGACATCAGTAGTTTTTCAGCTTTCACCGGATGATTCTAATGAGTACCAGGGTTGACTTCAGTGGGGCTAGATGAATTATTTCATTATACTATTAGGATACAGACTTGATTTTATCATTGTGGGACCACCACAAGTCAAAGCTTGTGCATCCAAGACAAAAAGGAAGGAAGAAAGTGGATCTTTGTTGGTGCTTTCCTCATGTTATTACTGAAGACAGACGGGAATGACAGCAAGGCTCCGTATACAGTTAAGCAGCTTGTTGCGTCACCCATAGATGTTTGGCCAAGAGCACGAGAGCTGAAATCTACCTCTTTCACCAAGCCTTTCCCCTGAGACTTCATCTGTCTGTAAAAGGCACCTTTTTTCTAATTGGCACAAAGGACTGGGGGTAGTCCTGAGAAATGGCAATATAGTTGGGGATGTTTACACTTTTAAAATTTAGTAATGAGCTAATACAGCTTTGCTTTTTAGCTCCTGTGGCACTGAATTCACTGCTTGTTAGCATTTGGTTGGCTAAATCTTTTAATGTTAATTAAGTAGTGCCAGGATGTGGAGGAGGAAATACTGACAAGCTGTACTAGACCCACCCACAGACAGAACAAAAATAGCTCTCACTGGAATTATCTATCATGGGCTTCTTTAATCATGTTAACTTAGTGTAGCAAAGAGAACCAACATCTGGATTAAACATGACCATCATGGATGGTTATTTCCACTGTCATATACTAACTAGAGGCCCGGTGCATGAAATTCATGCATGGGTAGGGTCCCTAGGCCTGGCTGGTGATCAGAGTGGATACGGTTCCCCACCTCCCCACCTCTTCCTTCCCTCACTCCCTCAGCACCACCAACCCACCACCACCACTGGTTGCCCACCATGGTCCACACTGCCCCCTGGTGGTCAGTGCACTTCATAGCAAGCAGTCAAACTCCTGAGGGAACACTTTGCATATTAGTCTTTTATACATATAGACTAGAGGCCTGGTGCATGGGGGTGGAGGTGGGGTGTGGTCCCCTCAGTCCAGCCTGCACCCTCTCTAATCTGGGACCCCTTGGGGGATGTCCAACTGTATTATATAAACATTAAGAATAAAAGTTGTAGAGACCAAATATGAGGAATAGTTTTGCCCTAGTGAGGCTGACAGTAAATGGAAGGTGATAGTATAAGGCCATAATATAGTCTGGGAAAGGCATCAACTAGTGGCCTCATCTAATTACAGATTGTCCAGAGTTTCCAGGGGCCGAACCAGAAGGAAAAGCAGACTTCAGGAGGACTGTCAGTGACCTGGGAGGTGAAGTTGTGGTCAGTGGGGACCTAACATCAGGAAGTAAATGAGTAATGAAAATTCCACAGAGGTGGGAGTAGGTGAGAGTAGCATAATGCATGTAGGAGGAGTCAGGTAGGAACTGATCCTGTAGTCTCTCCCCCGATCCCCCCCTTCCCAGCTCCATTCACGGTTTTGTTTTCCACAGTTTCTATTACCCATGGTCTGAAAATATTAAATGGAAAAGGCAATAAATAAACATTCATAAGTTTTAAATTGCATGACAATCTGAGTAGTGTGTTGAAATCTCATGCCATCCTACTCTGTCCCACACTGGTATCTATGATGTATATGCTCTCTGCCTGTTAGTCACTTAGCTGCCATGGTTATCATATAGATGGTTTCAGCACCACAGTACCTGTGTAAAAATAACCCTTATTTTTATTAATGCCCAGAGCCATTCACATAACTCTTATTATAGTATATTGTTTTAATTGTTCTAGATTATTTAGTTATCGTTAATCTCTTACTGGGCCTGATTTATAAATTAAACTTAATCATAGGTTTGTATAGGAAAAAACAGTGTCCGTACTATCTTCTGTTTCAAGCATTTACTGTGGGTATTGAAACATATATCTCCCATGGATAACGGGGACTACTGTATTTGGGCTGTAAACTCCTTGAGGGAATGTTCAGTCTTACTCATCTTTATGTCTTCTTCTGCTTAGTTCATTGACTTCCATATAGTAGGGACTCATTACTAGTAAATGTTGAATGCTTGAGTTGGGCAAATCTATAAAGTTCTAGACTTGGAATATCTTTATCTATGACGGGGCAGGGGGTAGTTTTAGATAATTTCAAGGATCCTTTCTGTGATATGTTCTTCACGTGACTTCCATAAGCCGCATGCCTTAAGTAGTGCATTGATATATAGTTATTTTACTAATGTGATTATATATAATAGTCGGAGTAGTAGCCTTTTAAATAAAAGGAACATGAAAAAGATTGGCTAATCCATACTAACAGTGGTACCTTTGGTACACAGAGGTGTATAAATCTCTATGATTGAAAAGGTACCACAGAGAACAGGACATAAACATTCTCAGTTTAGAGGGTTCTGCAGGGAAAACTATGAAATACTCATAAAAATTTTTGTTCCTGTAGCCATCTAGAAAGAGCAATGTCTTTATTATGTTCTCATTTCTGCAGAGGATCTTAAAAAAAGAATACCTCATTAAATGCTGCGATGTTCATATTTGCAAATCAGTGGAGATGGTAGTTATCAGCATTTGAACATCTCATTAGCGAGATGAAAGGAAAGGCAAAATTAAAACTCATTCTTTTTGACAGTTATATACTTTTAAATTATAGAAGAACTAGAAATTCCTGTACTGGGGAGGTGGGTAAGGGGAGGTCCCTCAGCCCGACCGGGGCCCTCTTGCAGTCCGGGAGCCCTCAGGGATGTTCGCAGCAGTCAGACATCCTTAGCACTGCCCAGGAGGCAGGAGCGGCTCCTACCATCGCCACTGTGCCCGCCCGCCCACGGTGAGCCCAGCTTCTGGCTGAGCGGCGCTCCCCCTGTGGGAGCGCACTGACCACCAAGGGGCAGCGCCTGCACTGAGCATCTGCCCCCTCGTGGTCAGTGTTTATCATAAAGACCAGTCATTCTGCTGTTCAGTTGATTTGCAGATTAGCCTTTTATTTTATAGGATGACTAAAGGAAAGCACGATCATTTTTATCATAAGTTTTTAATTTTTTAAAATATATTTTATTGATTTTTTTTTACAGAGAGGAAGGGAGAGGGATAGAGAGCTAGAAACATCAATGAGAGAGAAACATCGACCAGCTGCCTCCCGCACACCCCCTACTGGAGATGTGTCTGCAACCAATGTACATGCCCTTGACTGGAATCGAACCTGGGACCTTTCAGTTCGCAGGCCGACACTCTATCCACTGAGCCAAACCGGTTTCTGCTTTATCCTAAGTTTTAATTGCTTTTTATATTACCACCTTATATAAACCCTTTAATATGGCTGTAAATATCATGATTATAAATAGCTGACATAAATACTATATCTTCTCTCCCTCCCTTTTATCAAGATTGAAAAGGCCAAACCCATTAAATGTGGAACATTTGGTGCAACATCCTTACAGCAGAGATATTTAGCTACTGGAGATTTTGCTGGAAACCTTCATATATGGTAAGATTACTTAATTAGTAGTAAGACCTGAGATAACAGTTTCTTTGATAGTCTTATTGCTCTTCCTCTGAAAGAGAATTCTAATTTTATCTTTAGGCTTTAGGTATTTAAAGTAATGTTATCAGTATTTCTACATATGCTGTTTGATGCTACTATTTAATAACTTGAATTTGTAAATAAAGGGTTATTCCTCTCCACCTTGAAGGATGCAGTCTATAAAAGTACACATGTGTAACATGGGGGAAATTAGATATTGTATGCATTTAAGCAGTACATTTGACATTACAGAATGATACACTGAGCTTTTGCTTATTTTAATTTTTTAATGTAGAGCTCCCAGTTCATTTGAAGTTCTTTTAATGAGTTAGCTAACATCTAAGCACAACTTTATAGGAACACATCTGTTGAGCAAATCAAGATAAACCTGTTTTGAATGAGCAAAATCATAATTGTGTCAAATGCTTTTAATTTTCATGTTTTATCAAGATTTATTTTTTCTTTTTTTTAAACTTTATTTTATTGTTTAAAGTATTACACATAGTAGTACATATATCTCCTTTTTTTAGAGTTATTTTTTTATATTTAAATTAGAATTGAGTGAATTCAAATTTCTCTAATTACTTTTTAAGAATATCTCTTAATCATCTGAAGTATACACTAATGGTCTAGAGAGAAACCGTCTTCCCTGCTTGTTTTCCAATGTGACCTTTTTGGATTTCTCACTGAGAATCTGCTACTTTGTAATTAAATTACTTTGATCTATTTATCTTTCTTAGGCTCCTAATATACAACATAATGCAGCTATTTTAATTTACCCTTGCTTTAACTGCTTAATAATTAAGTTAGCATTTATTACAATGTATTAGTCCTCACATGCTATGTCATATACTTTTAAAGAAATTGGGAGAGAGGCTAGTCTGAATGTTATTTTTAAAAATAAAATATTTCAGCACAAGTATATAGAACAAATGTAACTGTTGACTTTCTTCCTAATAGAGTAGAACAGGTACTACTGACTTATTTTCATTGATAAGTCTTTTGTTTATATTAAAAAAGTAATGTTTTTAAAAATCTGTAAAAATAGTCTTTTAAGTAGAACCTCAATCCTGTTTAGTCTCCTGTTTCTTTCACAGTAATGTTATAAAGATAAACATCATGTCTAAACTAGGTTGAACTATCACAAATTTGCTAAGTGAAATTTTACACATTTTGGCTCATAAGTTGGGATTACATCATGAAAAGCTATGTTCGTTTTGTTTAAGTGTAAGTTATTGAAACCTGACTTGTTAAAGAGAAATGTGGATAGAAGCTCCAATAGAAAAGCAAAAGAAGGGGAGCAAGCGAGAAAAGGATGTATTGCCATAACCTACTTGAGCCTTTCCTTATTCAACCATCTCATGTAGACTCAAGCACCCATAATAGTAGTTACTTTCCTGCATTTCTTTCTCTTAAATAACCTAGCATTAGACAAACTTCAGCCAGTTTGATTCATATTTGTGACCAGCATGATGATAAACTAACAAATACATAATTAGATGAAAAATCAAAACTCAGTGAGAAAATAATACATGATAAATTAGAAAATGTGTACCTAGTATACACTATTCATATAATAAAATAAACCTTAGAAGATCTCAAGATGAAACTACCAAGGTCAACTTTGGAAATATTCTAAATCCTTTTACTTTATATTTAAAGCAGTAATTATCAGACTTCAGTCAGCAAAGAGTCCACAGGGTTGGGACCCCATCCCAGAGATCCTTATTAATGACTAGAGGCTCAGTGCACGAATTTGTGGTGGGCTGGAGGTGGGGCTGTCTGGGGGGAGGGGCCCAGGCAGTTGGCCAGCAGGCCCCAACTCCTGGTCCTGGAGACAATTTGCATATTAGCCTTTTATTATATAGGATGTCTGGGGAGGAGCCTGTGAATCTGCACTTAATAAGCAGACCTGGTAATTCACCTATGAAGAACATTAAATAAAGCGGACATGGGTTTGAATTCCAAGTTGAATAATGACCGTTCTCATTGAGGGCTTAAAAGATGCTAAAGGGGAGGGAAGAAATTGGGAGTATTTGTATAAATTCATAGTAAAATCCTTATTTTTAAACAAAAATCCAAATATGGAATGCATCCTTACAATTTAGTAGTGAACTAAATGTTTGGGACATGTGGTGTAAGTAAGAAGCTGTCTTCTGTTGTTTAGGAATTTGGAAGCTCCAGAGTACCCAGTGTATTCCGTAAAGGCCCATAAAGAAATTATAAATACTATAGATGGTGTAGGTGGACTAGGGATTGGGGAAGGAGCACCTGAAATTGTGACTGGCAGCCGAGATGGTAAGTCAAAGTATTTTATGTACAGTATTTTAATTTTTTTAAAGATAAATCTCTATACAACGGGCTATCCTCTCTGTGTGGAAATCCACAGTGACCCTTACCCACTAAATCTAACAGTCTTTTTTATTAGGCAGGTTTGATTGCATATCTCTAAATTGTTTTATTCTTGAGGATTTTGAGATAGAGGAAAAGCACTTAAACTATTTTAGTTTTGAACAAATTCAACTACTAACAACCATAGTTTCATATGACCCTTGAAGGATTTCAAATTTCTTTATCCGTTTTTGAGGCAGCTGACAATACAATGTGGGTGGCAGCTTTTCCTTTTTTAAAAAGCAGAATCAGTACTTGTGAAAATTGTCGCGTTGAACACTGAAATCCTGTGATCCTTCCGCTGAGCATTGCAGAAAGCTCCAAGGACACCAAGTGCTTTTCTCCCCATCAGGGGAGCGCCGCTCAGCCAGCAGTGACTAAAAATGGACCAGTCTTAAAAGGAAAGAGGGGGGAATTTTCTGATAGTTACTCAAGAGTGGCTCTGTTTTCTAAATCAAATATTCTTTCCAACCCTAGAAACAATTCAGAATATAGAAGGAAAAACAACATTCAGTCCACCACACCAGCATAACAGTTAGGTGTGCTTTTCTTTCCAGTCTTATATACAACAATGAGTAGCTACCAGTGTGTGTGTGCTTCTGTATCTTCCTTTTTTCCATTTAATGTTTTGTTATATGTAAGTGTTGCTGTTTGCATACTTACATTTTAATGACTACGTCACATTCCATCCTCTGGAGGGTCACAATGTTTAACCATGCCCCTGTTAATAAGCATTCAGTTTTTTGTTTACCTCAAATTTTTTGCTTATTATTTTGGGAGAGTGACTTAAAAGTAATAAATAAGCCGAAACCGGTTTGGCTCAGTGGATAGAGCGTCGGCCTGCAGACTGAAAGGTCCCAGGTTCGATTCCAGTCAAGGGCATGTACCTTGGTTGCAGGCACATCCCCAGTAGGAGGTGTGCAAGAGGCAGCTGTTCAATGATTCTCTCTCATCGATGTTTCCAACTCTCTATCCCTCTCTCTTTCTCTCTGTAAGAAATCAAAATATATTAAAAAAAATAATAAATAAGTATCATTATGTATATAACTCTTTTGGAATAAATATGTGTTGTGGCTTTTAAAATTTACTGTCAAATTTTCCAAAATATCTTTACCTTATCAGCTACAATGGAAGAAATAGATTTCTAGTGTACCCTACCAGCATTGATTTTCCTAAATTTTTAGATAAAAATGATACATCTTTCAACTTGTGTTAATTTCTTTCTATACAGTATTTATTTACCAGTTAATTTTGCTGTGTGAATTTTTTATGTTCTTTGTTCATGTAACTGTTACAAACTTAATATAAATTTTATCAATTTGTATGAAGCTAGTGGAGTGATACATCTTGTCATATTTGCAGGAACTTTTTCTCCTTAACACATCTTCTTAATAACCAATTTTATTTTATTTTTAGAGATAAATCGAGTTGAATAGTACTCTCTTTTCTACATTTATTATCCCTTGTAAGGATTTCTTTTTATGCTTTTCCTATTCTCTCTCAGGTACTTGCCTTTTAGCCATTTTATTTTAGCCATTTTGTATTTCTCAGAAGCAATTACATCATTTATGTAGCAGTCCTGTAATTTGCATTACAAGAGGAAGTTGAAATTAAATTGAGAATTATTTGTTAATTTTTTAAAATTTTATTTTATCATTTTTATTTAAAAAAATTATATATTATTGATTTTTTTACAGAGAGGAAGAGAGAGGAATAGAAAGCTAGAAACATCAATGAGAGAGAAACATCAATCAGCTGCCTCCTGCACACCCCCTACTGGGGATGTGCCCGCAACCAAGGTACATGCCCTTGACCGGAATCAAACCCGGGACCCTTCAATCCACAGGCCAATCCTCTATCCACTGAGCCAAACCGGTTTCAGCTACTTGTTAATTTTTTTTAAAAATTCTTAATTATTGGAAGTATTACATATGTCTCCCTTTTCCCCCCATTGACCTCTTCCAGCCCATTCCCGCCCTGTTAATTTTATTTAATATTTCCCTGTTCTCTATTGCCACAGGGAAATTAAACTTAATTATATGAAATAGTATTCTAAAACTCAATATAAGAAATTGTAGATGTAAAAATTAGTTTATTCTTCTGTATAAAGAATAATGTCAATAGTTATATGGGTAGTAAGGAAATAATTTAAAATGGCACTGGTATTATCTAAGTAACTAATACATTAGTTTTAGGCTTAAGCAAAGAAAATAAAGTGTGAATTGAATTGCATAACATCTATATTTGTCTTGTCAATCATACTGTGTTGATAACATAGGAACAGTTGTTGGCTTTTCTGTATATCTATTTGGAAATTAGTAAGTCAGACATATGGGTTATATTTCTGATATTAAGTACAACTTACCCACTTAGAAGTTAGAAAAGTGTGAATTTTTTTCAGGTGTTATAACATCTATAATATTATCATGTATACAGGAAGCCATAGAAGAGAATGCAAAAAAGAAATGTCATTATTTGCTGTTGAATTTTGCCAGTGCACTTTTATGTCTGGCAGGAACTGTGAAGGTGTGGGACCCAAGGCAGAAAGACGATCCTGTTGCTAACATGGAACCTGTACAAGGAGAAAACAAGAGAGACTGTTGGACTGTGGCGTTTGGTGAGTTATTGAAGAACTCTTGGGTTTGAAGTATCCAATGGTAAAAGTTTCAAGGAATTCCTGATGGTCTGTTCATAGCCTGTGGGATATTCTGCCAGTTTATTGAGGCAAATAGACATGGTGGTTAATGTCATCCTCTGAGGCCTGGGTTTGAAGTCTCATGGTCTACCTATTGGCTGTGTGACTTATTGGCAAGTTATGAAATATCTGTTTATTGGTAGCTTCATTTGTAAATGGAAGTAATATAATTTACTTGCTAGTGTTGTTATGAGGATTAAAAAAGTTAATATATGTATAGTGCTTAGAATTGTGCTTAGGTTATTAAGTGCTCAAAAATAATTTGTTGTTACTATGTACTTGTGTTTAACTAGATAATATTGACCCGTTAGAACCAAATGCCAGTAACGGAGCTAAGTAGAGCATCAAGGGCAAATGATATCCTTACAGATCTTACATTATACTCTCTATATAGTATGTTTAGTTTCTAGAAAGTTGTTATACCATTACAAAATTATTTCTTATAAATTTGACAGCTGTATTTCTCTATTAATATATTTAAAATGAATGCTGGTTTTGTAAGACTAATTGATGTTTTACCCTTGTATCGCTTGCTGAGCACCAAAATTAAAATGATTTTTGCTAGTGAGAGGTATATAGGTCATATTTAGTTTTAAATCTATTTTCTTTCCCTCTTTTCTTAGTATAATCCTATGTAGATAACAGACATTAAAAGTAGGATTTAACAATACACGTGATTTGTTCAACTTTTTATGTTATTTTAAAATTGCACTGTTATTTAATTAGAGGAAAGTTTTAGACTTACACTATAAAAAATAAATTATTGTTTGAGAATTACTATGTGTGTATATTTTGTAAACAATTATATAAACTTAAGACATATGCTTGGGGAGAAATTTCAGGGTTAGTATTTGGAATCATCATCTAAAACTTGGTATAATAATTAAAAAGTAATTACCTTTGGGCTCATTAAAGCCTTTCATCATTGACCTAAGGAACATAGGTACAATTTTAAATATAGGTGCTTAAGTTTAAAAAGAAAATCCATTGATTTGACAATTTTTTATGGATGCCAAAGAGGCGCAAAGCGGCGGGCATATGAAGGGTAAACAGATGTGTTATCTGCATCAAGATGCTTAGAGTTTAGTAAAGAAGACATGATAGCTACATTAATTATAGTACAGCCCTAGCTGGTTTGGCTCACTGGATTGAGCATTGTCTGCGGACTGAAGGGTCCCAGATTCGATTCTGGTCAAGGGCACATGCCTGGGTGGGCTTGATCCCAGTAGGGGTGTGCAGGAAGCAGCTGATCAATGATTTTCTCATTGATGTTTGTCTCTCACTCTCTCTTCTCCCTTTCTCTCTGAAATAAGTAAAAATATATTTTAAAAATTATAGTACAAGGTAGGAGTGATAAAAGATCATGAGAAACATGGACAAATGTGGAAGAAATCCCAAGGGAAAGATGACCAGGGTGAGGGGGCAGTTTTTACCAAAAGGACATATAAAGTTTGAACCCCTAAAATTGGAAGGAAATTTCAAGTATAAGGAATAGCTTGAAAAGTGTCCTAGTATGTAGGGGAAATACTGTAGTGGTAGAAATTGCTTTAAAGATGGCTCAAGCCCACAACCAGAGGTGTTTAGATAGTCTTAGAAGCCAATAATATTCTCACATATCCCTTCAGTATAAAATGAGCTTTAAAATAACAGTATCAAATACCAAATTAATAATCTGATGTCCTGTCAAGATCGGTAACATGAGATTTTACCCAATGAGATTTTGTAAAATCTGATTCAGTACAAATTATATGCATCGGTTCATAGAATTATTTTACCAGTCTTCAGATTAGGATTTTAAAGATCTGGAATGTTGTCTTGATCTGTAGGTAACGCGTATAATCAAGAGGAACGTGTTGTTTGTGCTGGCTATGACAACGGTGATATCAAACTGTTTGATCTCAGAAATATGTCATTGCGGTGGGAGACAAACATTAAGAATGGGGTAATGTACATTTGGATTCTTTTATATTTAATTAATTAATTAATTTATTTATTAATTTATGTTACTTCTCACCTGAGGATATTTTTTCATTGATTTTTAAAGGGAGTGGAAGGGAGAGGGAGAGACAGGGAGAAATATTGATGTGAGAGAGGCAAATTGATTGATTGCCTCCTGTATGCACCCTGACCAGGGCCAGGGAACCTGCAACCAAGGTATGAGCACTTGACCAGAATTGAACCGAGGACCTTCAGTCCACAGGCCGATGCTCCATCCACTGAGCCAGACCAACTAGGGCCATTTTGATTATTTTAAATTTCTCTGAGCATGTTTTCACCTACCTCTGAACTACTACAAAAGGAAGGTGATTCTAATAACTCATCTCAGTACAACCCACTCTACCAGTGGTTCTTAACCTTTTGGGGCTCCGAGCCCTTTGGGAATCTGATGAAAACCGTGGACCCTCTCTTGCAAAGTGAACACACACCAGATGTGGTGTGACAGTGCTGGTGAGTCGCCAGCCCCTGTGGCAGACTGTGAACACCTGTGTGTTGTGCACTGTCATATCAAAATGAGCACGTAAGAGGCTTTTTTCTGCGAATAGGAAGCCTTTCAGATTTTAAGTTCCTGAGTTGTAGGGCTCTCATGAGGAATGTGACTCCTTCCTGTTTCCTAAAGTCAGCTTTGACTTAACTGTGCACAATAATTGGGGAACTCAAGATAGTTTGACCTTATTAACCAAGAAGAATTTTTTTTTTATATAGTTTAAAAGGTTTTTAATGTATTGATTCCGTTTAAATGCTTTTACATGAGCTAATAACTTTTTAAAATTATTTTAAGAATTCCATACTTAGCTTAAAATAACCTACTGAATAATATTCATTAATAAATATTCTGTATTTTCAGGTATGTAGCCTGGAGTTTGACAGGAAAGATATAAGCATGAATAAGTTAGTCGCTACGTCTCTGGAAGGAAAGTTTCATGTTTTTGACATGAGAACACAGCACCCAACCAAAGGTTTTGCTTCTGTTTCAGAAAAGGTAAATCTGAGGGGAATGCCTTTCTATGAAGAGGAATGTTCTTAGCTTGTTTTAGACGAATAAATAGACTTAGTCACCAGGGTGCCTTCCAGGTCTGTATGGGAAGAGAGCTATTTTTAATATATTCTTGTGGGATCTTGACAAGGTTTTCTTGACAAAAAGTGCTTTCAGAAAGCTTGTCAGTTTTAGACTTCTTGATTATAATAAATACCTCAGTTGGATAGGAATCTTATTTTGTAGTTTAAGGAGCAATCATAGGAAAAATGGCTGATGACAAGAATGTAATAAACATACTAGCCTTGCATTTCCTAATAAATATATAATATTTGTATTTATACCTAATTATATACTCTTAAGTGTATACCAAGATGCACCTTAGTATAATACTAATTTTATGCTTTTCAAAATATATCTATATCTATCTATATATATATAGTCATTTAATCACATTTTATTTTATATTTGTTTGTTATATTAAATAAAATTATATAAAGTGTTAACCACTGTGGTTGATACATAGTAGGTGCTCAAAAATGTATTTATTCTTTTATTCACACTTATATACATACATACTTTGCCTTGTTTGAATAGTATTTGACGAAACTTAGAAAGAAACGTGGCATTACAATATTAGAAAAATAGATGAAGAAAAACAGGGCAAAGGGAAAATACTTGTTAAAATGGTGTCAGAAGTAAGGGGATTGCATAAAATTCTTGCTGAAATATCCTCTCATTTGCAAGAGATGGGTGAGAAATGTGAGTCTGAGCTTCCTCCATTATAAAAATAAAGGTCGGTTACATATTTGTAGTTTCCATGAGATTAAAATATATAAGTTGTTCAGGAAATAAAAATTCACTCCTTTTCTTACTCTGCCATGGACTCAGTAGTACTTTCCAAATGTTCCTATTTTGTCTTATTATTACAGCAGTTATTATTGCATGTAAATTACTGCCACTGCCTGATGAACTAAATTCTTAACAAGATAAATATATTTTGTAATATTGTTTTGACTTGTTTCAGAGTATATTATCTATCAAAGCACTTTACTAACTTGTTTATGTACAACTGCAGCATGTTTCCTATTAGCTATAAATTATAGTGTTATCTTCAAAATAAATTTTTCTTACGTTTAGTTAATCTAGTAATTGTTTAGTCTGATAAATAAATGACTATTGTATTTTAAGAGGTCATATCTCCTCTTGGTTAGGGTTTTTTGTTTTTTTTATCATCCAGCTTAATTTTTTTTAAAAAACTATAAAACAAATTAAGTTTTAAGAGCTTGAATCTAATCACTTGAGGACTCACACACTTAAAGTGTATATTTTGAGATGTGGGTGTGTGTGTGTGTGTGTGGTCTTTTTTCTTTTTTTCTTTTAAGTATAACATGTCTCCTTTTTTCCCAGTTGACCCCACCCCTGAGGGCAACTTCCCACCACCCCAGTGTCTGTCCATTGATTTTGCTAATATGCACGCATACAAGTCCTTTGGTTGATCTCTAACCCCCTTCCCCCTCCCCTGCCTTCTCTCTGAGGTTGAATGGTCTGTTCAGTGCTATCTTGTCTCTGGATCTGTTTTTGTTCATCAGTTTGTGTTGATCATTATATCCTACATATGAGTGAGATCATGTGATACTTACCTTTCTCCGACTGGCTTATTTCACTTAGCATAATGCTCTCCAGTTCCATCCATGCTGTTGCAGATGGTAAAAGTTCCTTTTTTATAGCAGCGTAGTATTCCATTGTGTAGATGTAGATGTATATTATGACCATAAACACTGTACATAAGTCCTTATGGCCGTTATTTTGAAGACCACACAAGTCCATTGGTTTAGAATGAAAATAAAGCTCTGGGAGCTTTCAGTTAAATTTCATTCTGTCTGTGGGAATTCTACTATCCACTCAGTTTTGCTGTGGACCTAAAACATAAAGTTTATTATTTTTTAATATATATTTTATTGATTTCAGAGAGGAAGGGAGAGGGAGGGAGAGAGAAAAACATCAATGATGAGAGAGAATCATTGACAGGCTGCTTCCTACATGCCCCTCTTGGGGGTTGAGCCCACAACCTGGGCATGTGCCCTTGGCCGGAATCGAACCTGGAACCCTTCAGTCTGCAGACTGACAGTCTATCCACTGAGCAACTGGCTAGGGCAATAAAGTTTATTTTTCAAAAGTTCAATCTAGCTTTATTTTTCCCTTAGGAAGAAGTATGTGGTTTGTATTTTATGTTTCTTTTGCTCTTCAGAGTGAGCTAGAGACATAAATGTATGAAATTTATTTGCATAGTTTATATGGTACTATAAACTTAGACTTTTAATCCGATAACACATTTTTTTTTTAAATCGAGTACAACTTTGTTTCATAAAACAATAAAGAAAAATTATGTTTTTTTGATTTCTGATGGGTTCTTCTAAGTATTTGGAGCCATTATAAAGAGAAGGACCAGAAAGTAATTACTTTTATAGCAGTTGTTGAAAAGATAGAAGAAAAATTCCTTTATTTGCAGGATTTCTCTTCCAGGGCAGTCTTTGTCATACAAACTTATAACCAGGTTGTGTGCCTCTCTTACTGTTTAGGCTCATAAATCTACCGTGTGGCAGGTCCGACACCTGCCCCAGAACCGAGAGCTGTTCCTGACAGCGGGAGGCGCCGGCGCCCTCCACCTCTGGAAGTAGTAAGTCTGCTGTGCACCGGCTCCTTTTTGGGTCACTTGTGGGCTTGAAATAGGAATAGACTGAACTTGTTCCCCTTATTTTCCTCCTCTGACAGTTCATTTTGCTTACCTTTCTCCGACTGGCTTATTTCACTTAGCATAATGCTCTCCAGTTCCATCCATGCTGTTGCAGATGGTAAAAGTTCCTTTATTATATTACATAATAATAAAGGATTTCCAACTTTATTATATTACATAAGTATTATTTTCTAAGCAGTTAAAAAAAACAAATTTACGTCTTTTACACATACTAAGTAGTAATATTTTGACTCATTAAGTATATTTGTTATTTAGTTGTCTTCCAAATATTATAGTGCGGTCAGAAGCCAGGAACAATTCTTTTCATAGATTTGAAATCATGGATTTTTGCTGTTTTTTTTTTAAGAAAAGCTTTCACCAAAGGCTTTTGTGAAATATTATAATTGGGTTGTTAAAACACTACCTCTAGAAGATAGGAAAAAGGCTGGAATTTGTTAGTTTTAGATCCTAATAATTCAGTTGCCCAAATTCAGATAACATCCTTGTGATAGAACCAGAGCAGAGCCCGAGGGCCCTGAATGATTTCCTGAATTTGCTTCCTGCATACCATAGGCAGGGTGAGTGACAGGGAGAGCTTACCATGCACTGCGCTCTGAATCCCAAGGGCCTGAAGGTGGCAGTTACTAGTAGTTGCTCATTTAAAAGACCTGATAAAAACTGCATTAATGGTTCTCTCTCTCTGTAAACATCACCCAAGGGAGGGGGGGGGGGCGAGAAATAAACACAAGCCATAAATGAAAGATAATGTTTGAAAAAGGAAATAAAAGAAAAATACCATCTTTAATGCTTGTGGGACTTCCACATTTACAAAATATTTTCTAAAAATACGTTTTTATTGATTTTAGAGAGAGAGACAGAGACATAGAGATAGACATCGATCGGCCACCTCCCGCGTGACCTTTGGTGGGGATTGAGCCCGCAAATGGGGCATCTCATTGGGAATTAAACTGGGGACATCTTGGTTCATGGGTCAGTGGTCAACCTCTGAGCTACACTGGCCAGACCACAAAATACTTTTCTACTTATTATCTCCTTTTAGAAGTTAGAAGGGGTTCTCAAAAATAGGGATACAAAAGCATTTAGGAATATAGCTGACCAAGAACCAGGAATGAATGCTTTAGATCAAAACTGTATCGTTTCTGTGAGTAAAAAGCAGAGGGAAAGTGGTGAGAGATCTGGGAGAATGCCTGGTAGGTAGGTCATTTGGTAGTTTCCCTTTTCTCTGCACTTTTGTCCATTGTTCCTTCCTGGTTGTTCCAACCCCGTCTTTCCTCTGGGATGGACTCTGCCGACCCCTCTGAGCCATGCAGCGGCACCTCACTGTTCTACCTGAGGACCGAACTCTTCAGGCTGCTAACTTGAAGCACTGAGTCCAAGTTGTCTTTGCAGTCCACACGTGGAGTCGTTTTCCTTATGCTATGCAGCCATGTTTGTAGCTGGAATTTTTTTCTCTTGTGGATTTAATTAATACAGAGAAGTTGGGTCTGTATGCAATTAGAAATTTGTAGCTTATCTCAAAATCAACTTTAACCTGTTCCATAACAGATAGCTAGTGTAATCTTCAAATTGGTTTGGAGCTTTGTTCCCAGGTATTATACCAGCAAAGGAGATCTGGTTTTTGCCAGTCTCCCTTGGCAGTAATTCCATTAAACTATAAATATTTCTTAGGCACCTAACCAAGAATTCCTAATGTAACTCATCTGATTATTTAGAAATTGTGTTAGGAATGAATGGCCCTCGACAAGCTGTCTTTTTTATTGTTGTTGTTGCATATTTTGAAAATCTCAAAACTTTAACAGATAGTCTAAAGGGTTTGAAAAGTCTTTGTTACTTATTAAATATTATATTGCTGCAGCCTCTGCCAAGAGACTCACAAAAAAAATCTGTTGACTATTTATCAAAAGGAATTGTAGGGTCTGAGAAGAAGAAAGAACAGTAGGTTATCCACCTATCACTTCTTGTATTTCTGCTCTGCTTCTCTGTTGCTTTATGTTCTGAAACTCCTGGCTTTCTTAGCATTTAGAAAATACAGGTAGTATCATAGTTACCTCACAGACTTTAAAAGGCCTTTTAAGGAGGAGCAATATTCTAGTATTTCACTAGGAACACATCTCCATGCCAAGAGGGATATTTCTTTTCCCCTCTCTCAAATTTAGCCCAAATAGTATTTATAACTTGTTTGCCTTCAACTTTATTTATTTATAAAGTTGTATTTTCAGCTAAAAGAAAATCACATGGTTCAGAATGGCTTTTTTTGCATTTTGAAGCAATGATGTTTAGGTCTAAAATCTCTTCCCAGCAGTGTCTGCTCATAGAGTGGTACACAGAGGTGCTGAGATCTGGCATGGAGCTCAGAGTATGGGTGGATCAAGTGTCTGCCATCCATTCTGGAAGTGTTTGGACGGGTTCTGCAAAAGGTAGTTGCAGCTTTTGCCTTTACACATGCTGTATCTCTTCTTTGCTCTTGCTTTCAGCGAATACCCTGCCCAGCGGTCAAAGAAAGATTCCGAGGGAGTAGAGATGGGAGTTGCGGGTTCGGTCAGCCTTTTGCAGAATGTTACATTGTCTACCCAGCCCATCTCCAGTATGGACTGGAGTCCGGATAAAAGGGGCCTCTGCATCTGTAGTTCATTTGATCAAATGGTGAGAGTACTGATTATTACAAAACTCAATAAAGTTTGATCGGAAGATTTTGGACTTTGAAACCTTCCAGTGGAACACTCGGAGAATTTAGAATGAGCTCTGCATCCTCCGACTCTCCTCAGCCAAGGCTGGATTTGACTGATGAAGAAGGCCCAGATACAAACCTCAGGCTCGCCTCTCTGGGTGTGCAATGCCCAGCGGTGAGTTCCTGCACAGGGGACACCACGGTCTCCAGAGCCAGATCTGTTCCTCTCTCCATTTCTGATAAAAGTTGGAACTTGTCTATATTTCACCATATTTACATTTGTTCAGCGTCCCCAAATTCCATATTTTATAATAAACACTTGTGTTGCATTTCAGTGTTCACACGGTCATGGTAGGGATCACTTAGTTTGGTTTAGGATGGTTTGCCTTGGTGAAACTACTGTGAATTAACTTTCATAAGTGTACTCTGAGTGCTTTCACAGTCACTAAGTTTCAGTACAAAACATTACTTTACAAAATAACCCTACTGTGCAGTCAAAATAAATTTGGGTAACTGTTTAGCTGCGTAACTCATAAAATGAAATACTGTGATTTACAGAGATCTCTTTTGTACCTAGAAACAGAGTTAAATTAGTGAGACTTTCCATTATTGACTGTGGCAAGTGATATTGAGATGTTCAAGTTTTGGGGATTTTGTAATCTTTTTGTCAAACTTTTTAATATATTTTATGAATAAATTTTTGGTTTTTAAATCTATGGTGGATCTGATTCTTTGAACTTAGTAGTAATAAAATAAACATCACTTTTGCTTTATAAATGCTTAATATGTGCCTCTTATTCACTTTGTTTCCTTACTGTTCATATCTTTGGCTAAGCTCAGGTATTAATTGTATCACACTTTCATTAAGCCTACCCTTTCTCCTGCATTCAAGAGACAGAGCACCTAAAACATTTGTATTGTATGAAACCCATGTGATTTCAGGGGTTCTTGGAAAGTCACTTGTTTGGAATATTAAATTCAGAACATTAACTTTAAGAAAAAAATCCTAAATTTTTGTATAGAACAATACAATGAGCATAATTATGAAAGTAAAATTAAATTGAACTTTAAAAATACCTATCCCTTGTTTTTGTTTTTGTTTTTGTTTTAATCCTCACATGAGGATTTTTTTCCCCCATTGATTTTTTGAGATAGTGCAAGGGAGATAGAAAGGGGGAGAAAGAGAAATATCAGTGTGAGAGAGACACATGGATTGGGTGCCTTCTGGACAGGCCCAGACAAGGCCTGGCAAATACTTGGAGTTATGTGGAGACTACTGTCCTATCTGCCTGACCACTTTCAGTGAATTGTCTTCCCCTGGAAGGAGGCACTCTCCTAGGTAAAGACCCTATGATGCCCTGACCTCTTGTGGGGAAATGTGGGCATTGCAAACCTTTCATCACAGAAGAAAATGATTTTTGTCTTTCAAATGCAGCTGGTAAAACCTTTCCTGTTCAGTCTACTGTAGGCACACATGTCAAATTGAGCCTCAAGAAAGACATTATCTTAGAGAAGGTTCTTCTCCAGTTGGGAGTGTTTATGAAAAGTAACATTCTGTAGGCAATAACACTTCAAAAGTCATGTGATTAACTTTATTCTAGATTCAACCTTATTTTTAGTGTTCCGTGAGAGCTGACTTCCAGAAGGAAACATTGGACTTTTTATAAAGTGAGGAGTTATCTTGTACACTAAAATAGTATATATACCTCCACCTCCCACCACTAATTCATTCTATAAGTTCTGATTATAATATGAAGTGGTATTTCTCAAGGTAAGGATTCTTTATACCACCACCTAATGTCCTGCAAACATTCTAGGATCCCCTCCCCCACCTCCTTCCTTGCTCTGAATTTGCATGGGATATGGTCATTGTTTTTTCAAGCTATTTCTGCACGAACAAGTCAATGAGCAGGCTTCCCATCTAACCTTTTGGCTCAGTGGACCTAAAATAAGCAACACAAAGTGAACAATGTGGTCAGAGACAGCTCTCCCTCACCCAGGAGCCTGAAGGCATGCACACTTTCTGGTCATTTTAAATCTTCAACTTTTCTTATGCTTAAGAATGCTCACACTGGGTCTTTTATAGCAGATTGGAATGTCAGCTCTGAGAGAGCCCTTGCAGTTCAATGAGCCCAGAATCCCTTAGAGGCAGAGACTCAGGTGTGACATCTCCTGACCCCCTAGTCCAGCACTCCTCCCTATGCCACCTAAGGCGTCCACTCCACACTCCATTCTGCCTCCCCCCACCCTCCCCGCCCCGAGGAGCAGGGCACCGCTCAGTCTAACCAAGCCAGAAACAGATCAGGTGCGCAAACCACACCACAGGTCAGAGGCGATAAGAGGAAGCAAAGAAAGGACCAGGCAGGAACAGAAGCAGCGGTTTGGCTTTCAGCAGCCTGCAGATAAACAAGTGTTTGATCTGGGCTGGGCACAGCCCCTTATCTGGTGAGAGATAACATTCACACTCAGGGCTCTGGAACAGGTTTGGAACCCTTTGCTTGCTGGCCTGGCCTCACACTGACTAAGCCAGGGCTCCGACAATGGCCATGGGGAAATGGTTACCACCCACCCAGGGTCCCTGAGCTCCTGGGGATCACAGAACCTGAAGAAGACAGACCCAGGAATCTGAGAAGAGCCTACTCACCACTACGGGCCAATAGGGCTGCAGGTTTCCCAAACCCGTTAGCAAAGCTCGGTGGACAGGAGAGACACCAGAGGCCTCCCTCGTTCTATGCTGCAGGTGATTGAAGGGAGTGGTGAGGAGTGGGACCAGAGGGAAAGCCGTTGGCACGTCTCTGGAGAGGCCTGACTGAGAGAAGGTACATATAGATGACCTGACAATAGCAGCTACTATTTCCTGAGCACGCACTCTGTGCCAGGCACTATGCTAAGTGTCTCTGCTGCTTTATATTCTTTGATCTTCACCACGAACCTCTGGGGTCAGTGCTGTTGTTGTAGACCTTTGCAACTGAACAACCTCCGAGAGGCTACGCTGTGCCAGAAGCTCCACCACCGCTGACAGGTGGTTTATCCATTTCTAGTACTCAGACGCTTAACCTACATATTTTTAAAATATATTTTATTGATTTTTTTACAGAGAGGAAGAGAGAGGGATAGAGAGTTAGCACACCGATGAGAAAGAATCATCGATCAGCTGCCTCTTGCACACCCCCTACCAGGAATGTGCCCGCAACCAAGGTACATGCCCTTGACCGGAATCGAACCTGGGACCTTCCAGTCTGCAGGCCGACGCTCTATCCACTGAGCCAAACCGGTTTCGGACATATTTTTAATATATAGGTGGCAGCTGTTTGATGCATTTTCCCAACCAGTTTCACTACTTTAAAGTCATAAATCCTTTTGATTTGGGAGGGATTCTGATGAAATCAGGAGAGAGCATGGAAGCACTGAAAAAAGGGAGGGACGGAGAGACCCTGGGTGGTGGCTGGCAGGGGCTGGCACTGGTTCCCATCACACCCTTTCCACAGCCCCGTTACTGTCTCCCACTGTGCTCCCTCACAGCCACCCTCCTCCCTCAGAGCCCCATTTCAGCACGCAGGAAAGATGGCATTTGTCAGCCTCCCTCTCAGCTCAGCCACCGCGGACTGTGAGGATGAGCCTGTGCTGCAGGGATGGCAGAACCCAGGAGGGAAGGAGCCTGCTGCCTGATGATTTGGGGCCACCGGGCCTGCCACCAGCACTGCCTCTCCACAAGTGGCAAATGAGCTTGTTTGTTGTTGGAGCCAGTGATAGCTTGTATGCAGATACCTCGTCCTGACTGCCTTCCCCCGCTTCTTTTTACAGAGGAGGAAATAGGCTCAAAAAAGGGTAGTCAACTTGATCCAAAACCATACAAGCATTACTTGGCAGAACTCAGACTTGAATTTGTCTATTTGACCCCTGAGTTCTTTGTCTTTCCTGGACTGTCTGTATTAATAAAAGCAATAGGAACACGCATGCGCGTTGTGCTGTGTAACTTGAAGAAGTTTCCTTATGTATTATGCACTGTGTAAGGTTGGGATTTGGGAGCCGCAGGCATCAGAAATAGACTCAAAATAACATACGAAAGAGGACTCTTTTCGATCAGAGAAGCCAGGTCATAGGGATTTCTTATAGGGATTTGGTTTTAGAAGATCGTGGGAGCTGGGGAAGCAGCTCTGCAAGGCTGCCGTCCATCCACAGGTCCGATGCTGGAGCGTGGCGTCCGCAGGGAAGGCAGCTGGGAAGGCAGGGGAGTAGAAAGTGGGGGAAAGCCAGAACCAGCCGGGACCAATCCATGCCAGCTGGGAACCACAAGAATGGGCCTCTGACCTTGGCAGCATACATCGGACCCTTCAGCATGGTGCTCAGCACACGTGCCTGGCTCAGAAGGAGGGGCCAGGGAAAGGCGGGGTCGTGGCAGGCAGGCAGGCAGGCCGCTGCCTCATGTGAGACAGGTGAGCCAGCAGATAAAAGACAGGAGCTTGACAGAGCCAGAGAAGTCTTGATCTGGGCTTGTAGGGAGTCGGACAGATCAGGGGAGGCTCCCTGGAGTGAGGATACTGATGATGGGATGCGTGTGCAGGTCGGGGAGAAAGAGAGATGGCTCAGGAGAACAGAAGGACACAAGAACGTAACTCACACTGGGTTAGTTCATTAAGAAGGGGTGTGTGTGACAGTGAATTCCCCGGGGTAAGTGATCTCCTGGGGTGGCTGAAGCAAGAGGCAAAGCTCACACAGCTGCCAGGCTGTGCCCCTGGGCCTGCACTCTCTCTCTCTGGCTGGCTGCATCCGCAGGCAGCTCTCCCCCAGGGCGGCCACAGAGCCAGGTGTACGCCATCCCAGGTGAGAGATACCCCTATGGGCATGTTCCCTCAGCAGTCCCCACCTGGCTGGACCCATGCCCGCCCCCTCCCTGAGCTAATTGTGATGGCGGGGAGAATGACTCTTCTCCTTTTCAGGACCATGGATATGCCCACAAGTTCCAGGCAGCACGGAGGCGGTTGGGGTGGTTCCCACAGCACAGCCTGACTCGCGTTGTCAGGGGGAGCAGGGTGCCGGAGGGAACAGCAGACGCTTTCAGGCAGCTCGGTCCCAGGCCTGCTCCTCATGGGCTCTGGGTCTAGCTCCAGGTTGGCACCTGTAACCTATAAAACAGACCCAGCCAAAACCGGTTTGGCTCAGTGGATAGAGCATCGGCCTGCGGACTGAAGGGTCCCGGGTTCGATTCCGGTCAAGGGCATGTACCTTGGTTGCGGGCACATCCCCAGTGGGGGGTGTGCAAGAGGCAGCTAGTGGATGTTTCTCTCTCATCGACGTTTCTAACTCTCAATTCCTCTCTGTGTAAAATCAATAAACTATATTTAAAAAAATAAAATAAAATAAAACAGACCCATCAATCGGGATTACACATGGATAGACCTTCTGGAAACTGAGGCAGCACCCTCAAACCTAAAGAGCTAAAGGGCTATTGAGGGGAAACCAGCCAGGCCAGACAGGTGAGAAGATAGCCAGAGCGAGAATACAGGAACAGACACTGGGGCAGGTGCGGGCAGAGGCCTGAAGAGGACACAGACCCACAGATGGCAACTCCCAAGGGTTGAGGATTCGGGGGGAGAGGGGGATGCTCCTGTGGTGCCACATGTCTGTGCTGAGCAGTTGTTGGATGTTGGCCGGGAGGGCGTATACCACCGAAGGACAGGGAGCTGGCAGAAGAGTCTGCAATGGCCCCAGCTGC